AGAGCCTCTCAGGGCTGCTGTAAACCCCCAGGAGCCTCTCAGGGCTGCTGTAAACCCCCAGGAGCCTTTCAGGGCTGCTGTAAACCCCCAAGAGCCTCTCAGGGCTGCTGTAAACCCCCAAGAGCCTCTCAGGGCTGCTGTAAACCCCCAAGAGCCAGCCTCTCCACAAGTCAGCATCGCCATCCCTTGCGCTCAGGACAAGGAAGGTGGCTGTTTTTCTGTCACACAGCACTGAGGATGGCCTGGAGCCACACTCAGGTTCCTTCAGATGGTTCTGAGGCTCCTGGGAAGACCCAGCACTGTCCCCCCCGAGCACAGCACAGCTACGCGGCACCCACAGCACCACAGACCACCCAAGCAGCCTCTCACCAGAAACAGGCACAGACACTCTGCTTCAGTTTTGGGAGCCTTTACTGCCAGGTGACAACTTCTCTAGCGGTGAATATCACAGTGGCTACAGGCTACAACCCCCTGTTAGAATAAAAGTATCCCCCCTACCCATTTTGCAAACCCGAGGTTGTTTCTCAGCAGAATCAGCACCCAATCAAAGGTTTCTTTCCCGCTGCACAAGCTCTTACCTGGTCTATGTTCTGTCCCTTCTTCTTCATGGCTTTCAGGACGTTCTCAGGCGAGTACCCCATGTTGACGACTGTCTCTATGCACTGCCTCTCGCTAGCAGACAGGACCTGCTGCAGCTCAGGAGCGGAGACACCCGACCGCTTTGTGCAGCTGGTGTTGTTGGGCACTTTAGACACTGGGAAATTTTGGTGCGTTACCTAAAAGGAAAAACCCAGAGGCCAAGGTGATGGTCATCTTCTGCATCCCCACATCCTGCTTCTGGCTAGCACAGAACCAGGATACCCCAGGTAATGTGAGAGGCTTTCTAGACTGTCCTTGGGAAGTCACCCACTGCTAGGATAAAACCAGGCAGCGCACACAGTCTGACTCCCACCATACTCTTTTTGCCCTCAAAATAACAATCAACAACTCATATTCTTCACAACATACCCTCTCCTCCTGGTGGAACCAAAACCTTTCAACACCTAACCTTTGCAACAGCGAGGGTCCTTATGATATAGCCAAACCCTGTACCTCAGAGTCAGTTTGGAGATTGCCCCCTTCACCCCATGATTACTCATCAGCTATGATTTTCTCTACTCCAAGGAACACTAATTCCAGAGATTCTCAGAAACACGATCTAGTGCAAGCACGTAGGTATTTGGGTACTTACCACAGGGATTTCTGCTTCCTTGCAGTCTGGGTGTACCTGTTGGACAATACACAGATAAGATGATCATAAACATTATGCACCAGGGATCAGAACTTGCTACAGCTGGGGGAGAAGGGTTTTGTGGGAAAGATTTGGGAGTAAGTCTATCGTACTAGGGAGACGTGTGGTTTGATCAGGCTTCCACAGGTGAGAGGCAGACATTATGCAGTTGTGTGTAGTTACACAATAGCCATCATAAGGATCATTTCTTCTCTCAGCACTCTACAGATTATATACTCCAAGAAGGACGTGTCACCCCTCATAATAACTGTAAGCTTGTTTATTCTGTCACTGTAATGGTGACATGTTCATACAGCTCAGTGTCACACTCAGCTCCTGACCCAGTGCTACGCTGCCTGAACGATGGTGATGATTTTGAAGTCACCTCCTAAAGACTCTTCTTGACTTTTTGACCATGAGAAAGGGTAAGAGAAACACAGAATCACAGAATTACCTAGACTGGAAAAGACTTTTAAAACCCAAAAAACCCATATACTCCTTTTCTACACTCAAAGCATTGCATTTCATACATCACACATGAGCAGTGTGGCACACTGGCTACAAAGAGCACGTGATTTTTCCTACCAACACCCAACACTTGGTCCCATTCCCAGTTTGCCAACAAGTCTGGGTAACGTTCCCTACCACACAGCTGCTCTGCTCCTGCAGAGCCAGGCTGCCAGAGGGCAGAACCAACCCACTGCTCTATGACACTTCGCCCACGATCACAGCAGTGCAAAGGCAGAACTCTGCCCCACCAAACCTGTACATTAAGAGTTCACCCCTTTAAAAGTCTTCCTGAATTTTAAATAGAATTAGAAAATGCTGCAGGAAATCACTGTGGACCACGAGCTTAATTTTTTTTGCATTTCTTAGCACTCAGTATGCCAACATAAACTGCTTGAAAGCTTCTTTCAGAAAGGCATTCTTTGGGCTCAAACTAAACAAAAAACTGTTTACAGAAAACCAGTTCTGAGAAAATCTACCAGGATTTTCACAAATTCCATTTATTTGCAGAAAATCTCCAAACCACCACCAATGAGGTTTTGTTCTGCATTTCTGACCATTTTCATGCCCAGGCTAAGAACCTGCCTTCTAGGAGACAAAGCCTGAGAAACTATTCAGTCTGAGGGACTGGTCTACCTCTCCTCATGGTGGTAGAGGGGTTCAAAGCTCTGTGCACACACCCTCTCCAGGCACTTTTGCCAGAGCAAAAGGCACTAGAATATGGGATACACTGAAATGGGGTTCTGCAGCAGCCCTGAAATCAGCTGGTTATCAAACTGAAGGATGATGCTTTGTTATTGATGCTGCAGACAAGAAAATCAAAACTGCTTGTGACACCAGAGATTTAAGAGTCTGGGAAAACCAACTCCACCTCCTCCTGAATCTATTTGAGCTTGACAACCTGGGCTTGTGGTCAATGACTTCCAGCAAAAGAGGGACACGGCTAAAGGAATTACAGGGGACAAAGCCAGGACTGATCACTCAGCAGCT